CCCCAAAACCCCAAAACCCCAAAACCCCGCAAGCAATTAATATTAAAAATCTTGGGAGAAATATTATTAACTTTGAAATATTTCGCAAATTATAATTATAATTTTAATGGAAGTATTATACAATCAATAGCTAAAAAATACTCATTTACAGGAAAGATTAAAGCTTAAACCTTACTAAGTGATGCAATCAAATGCAGTGCATCATCATTAGTTAGTGTAGTTGGTCTATCCAATGTCCCAGCCAACTATTTGGATCAGAGCTTTTGACTTTTACTTTTTGGGATTAAATCTCCTAGTTCTGTTGATCCAGGCATTCTTCATGATAGCAATTCTGAAATTTGATGTGCTTTTTACAATTCTATTCTGCATTTTCTGGTGTATTTGCCCTCTCTACAACTTTCTGTTCTTGCTATCCTCAGAAACTTACAAGTATAACCTGCTTTTGTCAAACTACTGGGTCATGTGGTTCGTGGGCATTTGCCAACTTGGTCTTATCCTTATCAGCTGGCAACTGTTTGTTGGCGACTTTGCACAGTACTTAGGACTGCCGCTGTCACCTGCTACTGTGACTATTGCTATTCTATTACAGTTCTGCTACTTTACTAATGCTGTACTCTTTGTACTGTATGGCTACTTTTTATCAAAGGATATGCAATTAAGAGGCTGATTGAATTCTTTAAAATATGAGAATAGAATCTACATGCAATAATAATGTTAATCTATGATATATGAAATTAATGAGATAATTACCTAAGTATTTCAATAAATGAATGTTAACACTTAATAGAAATTAACTTTAATCTTATACATTTAACTTATATTCAAATAGAATAATTTTTCAGTTAGAGAAAGCAATTTCTCTTCATGTGATATCGTTTCTGATCTTTATATCTTTGGCTAAGTCAGGGTTTGATTCCTGTAGTATATTCACAAACTTCTTTAAATTGTTGTATTTATTCTTTAGCATGAACTTAGGCACTTTCTCCACCACAGTAGACTAGAAAAACCTGTCAGGCATGAATTGATACTGCTATAGCATCACTGGTTTGTGCGCACTATCCAAGCCAAGTGTATTCCTATTCTAATTCCTCTCCCCTGACCTATGCTTCTCCCATGACACACCCAGCTTTTTAGCATTCTTACTTTCTTGTTGGTTTCTATCTGGATGAAGATTTTTATAGCGAGTTTTTATCTGAACCTCAAAATTCTGCTTAATTGGATTGGACATCGTCGACTCATTCACCTTTGTCCCTGTGCTCTTAGTCTCATGCAGATTTTCATTGGATTTATCCTTAGATACCCTAAGCTTGTTATTTCTTGAAGATGCCTGATTTGGCGAGAAATTACTCTGCTTCTCGTAGTTACGACTCTTATAGGTCTTAGTATCTAAATACTCACCCAATTCACTCTTGTATAGTTGCTGCTTCTAAGACCTCTTGATGACTGGATTAATATCTTAGTTCAAGTTATTTAAGACCTTCTTGCCACTCCTCTAGTTGGCATTAGCCGTGGTTTTTACTCTCGCTCTTTGAGTTGACAGCTCAGTCTTAATCTATTCCTCCTTAATATCTTAGTTCAAATTAAGGTCCTTGCCAAGACTATAATCCTTCTATATGCTTCTTCCTCTAAGTTTTAAAGTAGTGGTCTCTATGTTCAAGGGAGTTTGGTTGTGATATTCCAAACGACTATCATCCTGCCTGTGAGACATCTGTATACTAGTATTGATAGTGTCCTTCTACGCATTTCTATCTACATATTTGGCTGCCTCTGGAGAATTAGTTGGTTGCTTAGATTTGTAGAAGGTCTCCTATTTTTTTATAGTAAGCGAAGGCAGAGTCGAACTCAGTAGCTCTTTTTAGATCTGAGACTTACGGTCATTGAAGAATTATCTTTTATAGATCAGCAACTTCTGCTGATGCTAGAATGATTTATGCTTTTTATACCGAGAATCTTAGCTCTTGTTTATGATGATTTGATCTTCACGTAATATCTCATTGTTTCTTGTTCCTTCTTTTGACTTTGATATTGAATCTATAAAATCATTTTTAGATGTTTAGGAAGGCATAAGCTATGTTTCTTAAGTCCTTATAATCGGAGATTTCTTGGCTGATATCTACTAATACTTTTCCTCTACCTCATTGATCGCTCTAGTCAGCAAGTCGTCCTCATCTGATTCATGTATTTTATTTATTTTTATTCGCAAGTAATTATTCAGGATCTTCTTTATGTCCCCTTACCGCCTCTAACTTCTAGGAGAAAGTTCTGATCCAATGTACTGTCTGCCTGCTCCTAGACTTCCAGGGTAAGGTGACAACTCTGTAGTCTAAGAAAGTGCTCCCCGCATGGAAGTCATTTTACCATTAGATGCCATCGCCTTGTCCAGTCTATGTCTGCGATTGAAGAACTTCTGCTGGTTTTTCATCATGCTATACTCACTTTTAAACTTCTCCTCGGTTCTGTTATACCATTCATGATTGCTGGGCATTGAAGGTTTCTGTGATATGAAAGAAAATGCCTTCTAGTGATGAGATGAATTCATAGTCTGAGTCTATTCTATGTTTCTTGAAACATCTAGCGAATAGTTTTTATTCTGAGAGACCGCCTGCTATCTGTTATGCAAACTGAACTAAATCAATTCTTATCTTGGTTCCATTTAGAGTAGGTTATTAGTTTATTCCAACACAAGATCTTAAGTTATTATCTTTTTATTTGCATCATATAACGAATAGGCAGTTCGCTTTCTAGCATAAACTTATTTTCTGTTCGATAGAATTTTGCTTACCTCCATCATTTTATTATTACGAGCAATATTTTAATCTTATAGACTTTACAATAATTTCTTAATATTTCAAGACGGGGTTTTGGGGTTTTGGGGTTTTGGGG